TTTTCTTTTTCTTTCTTTTTTTTTTTGCTGTCACAATGCTGGGGGCTGCCACTCACATTTAGTGCGCAGGGGCCAGGGATGCTAAACATGCAGTGCTCAGGAAGATTCCACCCAAATGCCAATAGTGCCCTCATGTCGAAATACCAGTAAATGGTCTCTTAGGGCTCCAGCAATTAATTCAGTGATTCAGTGATTTTGTTTCTCCCTGTACATCCTTCTATGCTTCTTACTCCATAAGAGAGTAAAAGCCTTTTCTCTTTACTGCTTTCTCTCTCTCTGTCACAAGAGATCAGAGCTCCCTTTTTATGGAAACTGATCTAAACAATAGAAAGGTCACTTTGGCCCTTGGGACCATTCCTGTAGTCCCTCTCAGTTTCAGCAGCCACAGTGACCAGCATCAGCCTGACGCATCCCCGAGGTACTGTATATAAAGCTCGTAATAGCCTATAATGGAGTCTCATGGATATTACATGCTTCCAAATCCCACATTATCTGGTTGGGGGGATTAAAGAGAAGATTGGAAGGGGGTAGGGACGCAGCGGGCCCTGGGGCCGGTGTCTGTACACAGAGCCGCGCAGCATGCCCAATCCATTTGCCACGGCCCCCGCCTACCCAGCATTCACCACTGGTGAGAAAGCAGTGAGTGCCTCTGCCTCTTCAAAGCTCAGCAAAGGAAACACACTGTAGAAATCCCCACGCCAGCAGTCTTTTTCCTGTGGCCCCAAAAGGACTTCACATTGGTTCGCAGGTAATGAAAACTTGCCTAGGAAACTCTTTGGTCAACAGGATAAGTAAGTCACCCAAATGTACGTTCTTGAGCCCTTTGTACCTAATGAGATTGTGGCTAGGTAGAATTCTGGGAAAAACCTGGCTTAATCTTCACCTTAGCAGCCATAATGTCAGACCCCTGGCCCGGAAATTTCAGAGCAGCATATTTTAACCCCCATCTGCAACATACCAGCCTTGGTTTCTCATGTACTCTGAGATTTAGTTACTTTCCCTTCCTTCCTCTGTCCCTCCATCCCTCCCTTCCTTCCTTTCTTCCCTCCTTCCTTCCTCTTTTCCTTGAAATAAGAACTCCTCTTACAAGAATGTACTGTGTGGGGAGAATGAACTCATGCCAAGACAATGGGCAAATCTGTCAAATTATGAAATGCTGAGTGATGTTCTAATTCCCAAGCCATCCTGTGGTGGACGAAGCAGGGGCTCCCCATCCCAAGGAGTAATCAGTGAGCTGATTCTGCCGGTGAATGTAATTGTGCCGATTGTAATCATTTTGCTCCAGCTCTCTGCCCCTGTAGCATTTATTTCTTAGCCCAGATATTGATCTAACAGTAGGAAATTTTCCATCTGAATTTGTGATGCTGGACCCTCCCCTAGTCTGAAGATGCGTTTGGGAAATTCTCATTTTCCGTGGATCACAGCTGAACTATTTGGCCTGAGGGAAACCATGCACTGCTGGAGAAATGCCTTGGATTGGAGAGAGATTTTTGACCATTATGAGCAAATCGGAAATAAATGTAAAACACTGCCTGGAAATGCAAAGGCCTGTCATTATGGGAGATAGGTGAGAGGCTCCTGTGGGAAATGCTTAGAGAATTGGAAATCAGTCAGTCAAAACCGGGATTGGAGAACGGGCCTTTTCCCCCCAGTATGAAGATAGATGACTTCCATGGGCAGATTGAAAATCATTTAAGTGCTTATTTTCTTAATGGCTTTTCCTAGATCCCAATAAACAGTCTGCTCATTCTGCATCAATTTCTCACCCCCATGCTCAGGGCTTCCCTCTCCTCTTTTTCTGCTCAGACCCAGGCTACAAAGTTTGAGGAGGAGAAGGGTGAGAAGGGACAAGGGCATTACAGGAAGGAGAAAAAAAAAAGACCAGGAAATGACTGGTCAGAGCTGATCTAGAAAGATAGCACCTTGAAGAGAGGCTGGGGTGCCAGGAACTCCCAAGTCCCAGAACACTGTCACCTATGTGGAAAGCATTTGGTACTAACTCTGCCTTCCTCCCAACCCTAGCTGGATCTAGTACTAAGAAGAGGTAATCAAAGATTCCTCCCAAGGGCCTTGTTGACTCCTCTATGGCCTGACTAAAACCTCTAATGATGTCAGGAGTTGGTGATGAGGGATTTCCACCAGTTACTATAGCAGGACAGGAGGCAGGATGGAGTGGGGAAGAATCAGGAGGGGCAGACAGCTCTCCCTGCACCTGCTATGTCCCATCCCAAGCTCCAGCTTTTCCCTATCTGGGTTAAAATTGCCAGGCAAGCCAGCTCTCAGAGTCACCTTGGGAAAGGGACTCCAATAGGGACTTGGTAATGGCTCTGTCTTTGTTGGTTTTCGAGGAGCTCTTGGCGTTTCATCTTCCGCTCAGTGGGGCAAGGTGGAATTGGTTAACAGAGACTGCTCTGGGGAGGTGACGTGGCTGACAAGCCAGACACTTCGCAGACACAGGAAGCAGCAGCTGCGGAGGGGGCCACCAGGTTCTGCCAGCAGCTGTACTGCCTACGGCTGTGATCTTGTCTGATACTGTCAGCTAAGCAGGGGCAGCCCAGGTCAGGAGCTAGATAGTAGGACTCAAAGGGGGAAGGCGGGGTAAGAAAGAGATGGGCCACAGAGCTGGGATTTGCTCTTGGTTTCAGCATTCTGGCTGTACACATCACAAAAGATTCAGGCCTTGTGATCTGACACGTGTCATTGTCTGTTCCCAGAATATATGCAAATATCCTGAGTCCACCCATATTTAGTATGCCACTGTCACAGAAAGTGACAGAACAGAACAAAAAGAATTGTATAACTACCTTAACTATCAACTTGTATAGGTTTTTTTTTAATTGTCAACAAATAGCATTAAGGAAATATGTTCATATCTATCCATTCGATTACGATATTGTGCTGGTTCTTCCAGAAGAACCTAGGAGAATAAGAACCACACAGCTGATGAATCATTTAGAAAATCAGCATTAGGAACAAAAGCTAAAGGAAATGGAATGGGAAGTATCTGTTCTGTGTCTCTACTAAGTAAAAGAACCAAATTAATCAGTATGCCTGAGTAAATTAGATTAGCCATAAGAAAGGTCTCATTAATAATAACAACAACAACAATAAGAGTACCTAGCACTGTATAGAACTGTAAAGATTTTTCAAAGAACATTCACTGTATTCTTCATTTTCCATAAATGGGGCTGTGAAGCATAGGTATAGGCTTTTAAGAGAGGCTATGATATGTCCCAGTCTTTAAATACATGTTAGCAGTCTTCTGACCTGGGATGATTTAGGCATGAACTTGTTTGGAGACAGGGGATGGACAAGGTAACAAGTCCATGGTATTTTCTAAACCAGGAGCCAACAACTATGACCCAGGGGCCAAGTCAGGTTTGCCACCTGTTTTCATCTGTCCCACAAGCCAAGATGATCTTTATATTTTTAAAAGGTTGATAAAAAGCAAAAGAAGACTATTTCATGACATGAAAATTATCAGAAATTTTATTGGAACCCAGCCATGCCCATTTGTTTATATGTTATCTGTGGCTGCTTTCACAATGGCAGAGCTGAGTAATTGGCAGAGTTGAATCGTTGTAGCAGACCATATGGCCTGCAAAGCCTATAACACTTACTGTGTGGCCATTCACAGAAAAAGTTTGCCAAGCCTTGTTCTAGACTAAGTAGCATAATTCACAATTTGCACTAACAAGTTAAGACCCTGACTACTCAGTAGAAACCGTCTTATAAGGCTGTAGGGAGAATTAAATGAGTTAACATATATCAAGTACTTTTAGAACAGCATGAGTTTCTTATTATAAGCACTAAACTATGTGGTGATGATGAGGATGAATTGTCAGGTACTCTCTAAGCCCTTTACGTACTTATCCTCACAACAGTCCCATGAAATAGATACTATTATTACACTCCTACTTTGCAGATGAGAAAACTGAGTCTCACAGGTAGCTGAATATGTCAGAGCTGATATATAGAAGCCAGGCCTGCATGGTTCCAAAGCCCTTCCAAATTCCTGTCCTTCTGCCAAAGAGGAGGATTGTGAAATTATGAGATTCTCCTACCTGAGGGTCCCTTTCCCTGTCTTCAGCAGCCATTCCCCTTGATGTCCAGGGTTGCTGCATCCCATGTCTCCTCTTGCCTTTCTTTCCCCCTTGATCAATGGAGATAGGATACCGTTGACCCAGAATAGGTGGTAGGAACTGCCATTTATTCAAAGGTGCTAGGCACAATGCCAAGTATTTTGTGAGAGTCTCATTTAATCCCCACAAAGGCCTATGAGAAAAAAATGAGGCATAGAGAGGTACAGAAACTTTTTCAAGGTCACACAGCTGACAAGAGGTAGAGCACAAAGTCAAATTCAAGCCTGTCTGACTCCAGAACTGCCTTCCCTCTGAAAGATGCCAGACACTCTCCAAACATCCTTAGTTGCCTCCTTGTCTGCTGGGACGAAGTGTGCCCTCCAAGTCCTCAGCAGTTCTTTTAGCACAAGATACTCAGCAGTATTCACAGATGGCTGACAGAGAGGGGTCCTTTTGCTAGGCCACCCCTCAGCAAGACATGCTCCTTTATTTGGGTGCTGGGTACATTAGCTGCCTCTGGTATAAATCTGTAATTAGCTGCCCTAGCTGTATTTGCATAATGGATTTCACTTTGTTCTTAAGTTAATGGTGTTTTTGCAACAGAACAGTAACCTCTTGGTTCCTGGCCATTAAAATAACTGCCACCCTGTAGGGTAGAGCCGTGGTGTTGTAGGAAGTTCAGTTAGGAGCCACAGAGAAGGTGGGAGGGATGGTGGGATGAGTGGTTAAAGTTCTGTTTGCCTCCTGGGTTGTCTGCCTCCATGCCCATGAGTATTTGAAAGGTCAGTGAGGGAGGGCTTAAGGGCCGGAGAGGGCCATGGGGGCAATAGGGAAATAGCTGCGCGCTCATTCCCTGGCAAGCAATGCAGCCTGAGAAGCATCCCCATTTGTTCCTATGGGAGGAGGTATTCAGAGGGAATGAAATGGATTTATAAGGGTTGTTCTGGTGGTGAGGACCCAGCATGAAAGGTTGTGATACTAGTAGGAATAAAAAGAAGACAGCAGCCTCCTCCTCTGTTTCAATCCCTGACCCAAGAGAGTCTCCAACCTCTCCACAGAGATGTAGATATAAACTCTAGCTCTGGGCATCTGCCCAGTGTCTTTCCAGCAGTTTTCCCAAAACAACCTCTGCAAGCCTTGGACACATGGTCTAAACCCAGCCCTGGAACTCAGAGCCTGGCAAGAGCCAGCGGGACCTGTGAAGAGATCATAATGACAGCAAGCAGAAAACTTCCACGTGCCTGGCACTTCCGCAGGCCCTGTGTCCCTCCACTGGATGTTGAGTGTTCGTGTGTTTGTGGCACTGCCCACTTGCATAAGTAAAAGAACCCCCAGGTGCCGAGCCCCATCATTCAAGGAATCTCCCCTCCCAAGCCAACCTGTATAATTGGGTTCCTGCCTCATGCTCCAGCTGGGCCCATATCCGGTAGCACTCGGCCATCATCTGGGTGTAGAAGTCTTCAGGGTACGCCCTTCGGATTATCCGGCTCTGCCCATGGGAGCTTCCTCTGGAGTGTGGGAGGAAGAACTGGAAATGGAGAATAAGAGACAACTGCAGCTGTCACCCCTGGCATTTAGGAGCCAGCTCATCATGTGCTCTCAGCCAGGAGCACTTATTCTTCAAATATTTCCATACAGTCTCCCTTTATGGCCAAGTTACTGACTCAGCTTCTGAATACAAGTTCTTCAGCAGCTCTAACTCAGGCTTCCTTCTTGCTAACATCATTCACATCCCAAAGTCCCTCTGTTAGTTAGTCTTCAGTCATCCTGCTGCAACCTCCCCTACACTTGGACTTACAGAGGAGCAGAATTAGAAAGAAACTTCAAGATCATTCTAGTCTAGGCTCTTCATTTTGTGGACAAGAAAACTGATGATGACTCTTTCTCTGTGGCCTCAGATCACTCAGGACACCACCTTGGGAACCACCTTGGGATTTAGCAAAAGTTGGCGTGTTTCCTGCAAGGTTGGACCAGGAATCCTTCAGGTTTTGAGAAAACTGACAGAGAAATTAAAGTTTTCTAACCAATCCAACTCATTACCAAGAAGAGTAAACCAAAACCAGCCTGGATAGATAGAGGCAGAATGGGAAGGTAGAAACCTTTGGAGAGCTGGGTGGCCCTACCCTGGAAAGGACTCTGGATATTCAGGGCCTACCCACAGTCTCCAGTGCAGTGGCCACTGTAGACTGCACTGCATGTGGTCACCTCTTCTACAAGTTAAAAAAAAAAAAGACCTAAGTCTTATTTCCTGCGTATCAGACAAGGAGGTTGCTACTACCCGGAGGTGGCAGAAAAAACGGAAGCCTCTTCTGTGTTCCAGGGTGAGAGGCCAGGAATCTGCAGAAAAGAATCCTACCTCTTAGGCTGACAAATCAGTCTTTGCCTCTAGGCAAAATTATCTTTACTTAAAGTTACCCAAAGCAGAACTGATTATTTTTCTGGGCCAGAATCAACTATTTTGGCACAGAAGAGACAGGGTGGCAAGAAGGAAGAGAACGGGACCTGGAACACTTCTTGGTCAAGGGTGGGAGCTGGAAAGCAGCAAAAGGAGGAAATGTGCCTAGAAATCCAAAGTGAACCTTAGAAAGAATGAAACTTTACTTGCATTGTACTGAAGCACACCAGGCAGCTAAGCTACAAACTGTGCAGAATTTGTAATAATCAGGCCTTTGGCCTTCACCCTACAGCTGCTGGCTCCAGAAAAGGGGAGGAGAAAGGGACAGTCCCTGAGGTTAAAAGTGCAGAAGGGACACAGTACCTGCTCCAGTAGGAGGACCCTCTTCCTGTGTTTGGCCAGGTGGTATGCAGTGAAGCAGCCCTGGATGCCTGCTCCAATCACAATGGTGTCACAGAGATCTTTCTGAGCCGCCATCCTGCCCACCGAGTTAGCCCTACAGCCTCAGAGCCCACATATAAAGAAGAAAGCAAGGGAAGGCGGGCTCTGGCCTGAAGGAGGAGGAGTAAAGCAAAGTCCATCCTGGCCAGCATTCACACAATCCCCTGGGGCCAAGTCCTTCTCCCCACTTCTCCCAACCCCCAAAGCCTGGCACCGACCCGGCTCAACCCCCCGCTTCCCCTGCAGAGCAGAGCTGGGTAGTCTGATTTGTGAGGTTAGCCCAGCTCAGCTGCCAGCCTCACCCTTGCATCCCTTTAGTTTTCTATTCTTGGCTCAATTATTGTCATGCAAATGGGCTCCTTCCTATGCCACCTTCCTGTCTCATTATGATCTTTGTCTCAGGACTTCGGCCCTGGAATTTCAATGCCTCCTAGACCAAGCTGGGCACCAGGAATGCTGCTTCTCCCTGCTGGCTTCCCTCTCTCCAGCCTGATTTCCTTTGGAGATTCTAGAGGGCAGAGCTAAGAACTTGGCACTATGCCCAGGGAAAGGCCCACCCCTCTGGTGGGTGGTGAGGTTAGTGGGGTAGACGCAGGGGCCACAATTGGGAGGGCAGTTTTGTGATTATGAAATTATTCTCAGCATGTTTTACATTCATCTTTTAAAAAGGAGAAGGAGAAATGATCCTGAGCAAATGGAAAGGGCAGAGTGAGAGGAGGAGCCTTCTCTTGAGGCCCAGAAGGGGACCGGGCACCAGCCTAGGGCATGAGGGCCCCTGTAGTGAGCACTCTCTCTGTGCCAGGCAGTGTGCTAAATGAGTACTTTAACATACATTTGGGACAGAACTAAGATTTATAGGGCCTAATTCTTATACAATTTGGGGATCCTCTTTAAGAAAAGAAAAAGAAAAACTGTGAATACAAAATTAGATGCTAGAACTTGGAAGAAATCATACAATTAAGGAGCCCGGTGGTTGAAGTTTCATTAGCTTCACAATAAATCAGCCTCTGCTTGCATTATTTAGTTGAAGCTTCACAGCCCTAGGAGAAAATATTTTTATCCCCACTTTTGGCACATTAAAGATGGCCCCAAATTCTTGGTCACTCTTCCCATCACAGGATCTGTGACCACTTGACCAATAGAATATGGTGGAAAGTACACTGGTATCCTTTCTGGCCCAGGTCTTAAAAGCAGCTTCCTCTTCTCATCTTGGAGCTCTCACTCCTGGAGCCCTGAGCCACCATATTAGTCCAACCACCCTGTTGGAGAGACCACGTAAGGAGGCCCTGAGACTACATAGAGAGCCAGATATAAGAATGAAGCAATCTTGGACCCTCCTGCCCAGCCCAGCCACCAGCTAGATACCACTGAGTGACCCAATTAAGGCCACATGGGGCAGAAGACTCATCCAGCCAAGACCCATCTGAATTCCTGACCTACAAAATCATGAGATAGAATAAACCGGTTGTTGTTTTTAGCTAAGATTTGTGAGAGTTTTTTATGCAGCCATAACTGAAACACCACTTTATGCCAAAGACTTTAAGGCTGACAGAGGCCCAAAGCCACACACTTGGTAATCAGAGGAACTGAGATGTGAACTTCATTTTTTCTTTTCCAGAACCTGTTCCCTTAACCACTGTGCCAAACTGAAGAGTAGTCAGACTTGTGATGATGAATCTGATTTAAATATTTTGCTGTTTCTCTCATGGCTGTACTGTGAGTGGAAGAAAATAATGGACCAGGAAATCTACATAACCATAGGAAGATGTGCAGCCCCAGCAAAGAATCCTCAGCCCAACCCTTCCTTTCCTAGGAAGATGGGGGCCCAGAGAGGGGGTGTAATATGATTGGCTTTGTTTTCTTCTCAAAAAAGAAATTTCTCTAGAATCCAGAAGTCGCCTCAACTCCACCCCACATGGGACCAGATAGCATCCACTTCACAACAGGACAGCTCCCTTAGAGTAAAAAATGGCAGACATAACCAAGAAAAATGTACTATTTAAGTATGTAAAGCCTTGATATAAATATAGAAGGTCAGCCCCCGGATTTCTCTTGATAAGATGTCAGAGAAGATGAACAGTTTACACACGAGGAAAAGCAGACAATAAATCCTCACGTGGAAGTGTGCCCAGTCTCACTAGCAGTGAAAGAAATGGCGATTAAATAACTTCAAGGTATGATTATGTGCCTATTAAATGAGCAAAAATAAATAAAAATGATAAAATCTGATGTTGTCAGTGCCGCGTGGACAGAGAGAGAATAGTGTGGCAACTCAGCTTGTCTGGGCTTCCTGGAGAGCATGCAAGCACCGTAAAATGGTTCAAAGCTTCTGACCTGGAAATTTGACTTGGGGAACTATACCCCAAGGAAATATCCAAGGGGAGAAAAAGACATTTGTATGAAGACATTCGTAGCTGTGCTTTTACAATATTAAAAAATTGGAAACAATCCAGCCACAGGGGATAGCCGAACAAACTCTGGCATGTTGACACAATGGAATACTAGGTAGGATTCAAAATGACAAGTGTGAGTACGGTGGGCTCCGCAGAAACATGTAAGTAAGTGAAATCATACTGAGGAAGGGAAGCAGAACACAAATGGACTCACACGGATCACAACCACGAGCTATGTGTGTGTGTTATCAAAGATCTAAAGAGAATTTGGCGAGGTAATTGAGCTTAATGCTCATTAATTTCCATACTCTATAAAAATTGCGCTTCCATTCACAATTTGTAAAAGGATAAGGAGAAATCCCCTGAGGAAGCAGATGCTTCAGATCTCCCTGTCACTGGTTCCAGGGCCTGGGGAAGTTCTTCCTTTGTTCTAATCTCCATTTTCCCAGCTGCCCCCTGACATTTCTTATTGTTCATCCTCCAGGGAAACTACAAAGCGGCTCTGTAGCCCACCTCTCTTTTGTTTAATATAATATATCTTCAGAAATAAAATAACAATTCCATTTCCCCATCCCTACTTCACAAGCCTGCCCTGGATTCCTGGACTCAAGCATTCTGCTTCTTGTTAAGAATTTCAAACGACTCCTCCGAAAGCAGACACTGGCCAACCTTAAAATGAAAAGCAAACCAACTTCTGAAGGCTTCCCCTCTCCATCAGGATTGCCTGTCCTGTGGCTGTCCTGATAGGGGCAGGCAGAGAGAAGCGATCCCCTCAAATTCCATTTTAACACCCATTCTGGATACGAAGACCATTAAAGGGAGAGCCAGCAGCCCTAACTGTGCTGCTGTGTGTCAGCAATTGCTGCTGTGTCCTGGGGCAGAGTCGCCAAGGATGTAAAGGATGTAAGGCTGAACTGCTCATCTGATGGTTTGATTGACACTTCGCAGACAGGGGTGGGAGAGCCGAGCCAGGGAAGCAGCAAGCTGTACAGCTCAGAAATAATGAGAGGACCCGAATCTTGAGAGAGAGAGAGAGCGTGGAATAAATAAGAGAGACCTAGGAGTTGAATAGCAAGGGAGAGGCTTCTGTTCTCTTTTCTCTGCACCTCTTTGCCAAGGAGCTGGAGCCTGGGGCAAGGAGACAGGCAGGCTGACCGGGAAGCAGCCCTTTCAGACCCATCCTGCCAGCTAGGGGGTGTTTGTGGCCCTGAATGTGCAGAGAATGCCAGCGTGAGAAAACCAAGAGCAGCAGAGCTGGATCTGCATGTGGTCTCCATACACATTTTGAGCCCATTACCT